TTCCTTCCGATGGTTTTCCAGAATAACTTTGTATATTCTTCTCCTTTGCAGGCTGGTGGTGTTTGCGTCCCGAACGCTCCACAGGTAATTCCCACTGGTGACAACTAACTGTACATGGTGAGGTCATAGTGACATGATCCTGGAAGGCTCCGCCCCCTTTTCTGGTTTATATAAAATTTACTAGGCATTATTTAGTAGATCGCATGTATACGGGGGAATGAGTATTTATTTAGGACCGACAATTTGCATAGCGCTTTATTATATTTTACATTCACATCAGTCCAATGCGCTCAAGGAGCTTACAATCTAAGGTCCCTGGCTGACATTCTAGGGCCAGTTTAGACAGGAGACAGTAAACCTACCGGCATGTCTGTGGATGGTGGGAGGAAACCGGAACACCCGGAGGAATTCCACGTAAGCACAAGGAGAGCATGCAAACTCCATGCAGATATTGTCCTGATTGAGATCTGTGCCTGGGACCCCAGTGCTGCAAGGCAGAAATGCTAACCACTACGCCGGTTTGCTGCTCTATAAATATTTTAATTGAAGAGTCATCAGAAAGCACCTTTTTACCTGTGAACTGAATCCGTGGACGCAAATTGCCTACTAACTGGCTCTAATATTTATCATGGCGCCCATCTTCTGCACCTGGCTGCCTGGTCACTGCTTTTGTGTTGTCGGTGTCTTGATATTTGGGAAGGACCTGAATGTGAATCAGCCGAACAAGTAACCAATGTGTTCCCTAGTTCTGGCACCATGCAGAGAGGGAGGCTGCACCACACAGAATCATGCATCAGGAGGCTGCAGTCCCGCCTACAGAAATCAGTTTTACAGGGAGGAAACTCTCTGATGTTCACACAGCTGCAGGGCCTAACACATCCCATTAGCAGTTCACAGACTGCGTGTATTTGTTGCAGGGAGCTGCTTATAATATAAATGATGATTGAAAAATCAGAATCTGCTCACATGTCACTGTCAGTTGTATGAGGTGATCTGATGATTAGTCACTTTGAATTCTTGTGTACATGACACCCCTATTTCTCACGCAGAGCGCGCTGACCTCGGTGACGTACTGGGAATCCTTGTATCTCTACTCCAGTTATGATGTGTGTCAGGTAAGCAGCAGCAGACATACGGCTGGAGGGTGGGAGCTGATACTTGGATCTATGGGGATCAGGGGCGGACTGACCATTTGGAAACTCGGGCACTGCCCAAGGGCCCGGGGTCAGTAGGGGGCGCCATGAGATGCCCCTGGTACCTTTTTCATAGGCTTTTTTGGGTTTGGGCAAGGACACAAGGGCCCCATGATCCCCTATTGCCCGGGGGCCCCATGAGTTGTCAGTCCGCCCCTGATGGGGATGCAGGGATGGGAGAAGAAGCTGTGCCCCTGTCTTCTTCCCTGCCAGCAGTGACCCCTGTCCAGTGCCCTGCTGACCTCCCATCCTTTGTCCCCCTGACATTTTCACTGCACCCCCATATGAGACTGGCAAGATCCAGCTCTGCTTTGATTCATTATAAAGCTGCTCATACATTTGACAGTTGTCAGCTGATTTCAAGCACTTCTGAGCCACCAAGAGATCTCCGCTGTGAGTATTCACGACATAGGAAGCAATCTACCATCTAGGACAGTGGTGGGCAACCTTTTTTTTCAACTGAGCCAAATCTCGCCAAAACCATGATTGAAATTTATTTTGAGAGCCCACATTTTTAAAACTGAAAATACATCTATAGTAATTCATCCCCATATAGTAATTCATCCCCCATATAGTAATTCATCCCCCCATATAGTAATTCATCCCCCATAGTGTAATTCATCCCCCATAGTGTAATTCATCCCCCATAGTAATTCATCCCCCATCGTAATTCATCCCCCATCGTAATTCATCCCCCATAGTAATTCACCCCCATAGTAATTCATCCCCCATATAGTAATTCATCCCCCATATAGTAATTCATCCCCCATATAGTAATTCATCCCCCATATAGTAATTCATCCCCCATATAGTAATTCATCCCCCATAGTAATTCATCCCCCATATAGTAATTCATCCCCCATATAGTAATTCATCCCCCATAGCAATTCATCCCCCGTATAGTATTTCATCCCCCGTATAGTATTTCATCCCCCGTATAGTATTTCATCCCTCATATAGTATTTCATCCCCCCATATAGTATTTCATCCCTCATATAGTATTTCATCCCCCCATATAGTATTTCATCCCCCCATATAGTATTTTCATCCCCCATATAGTATTTCATCCCCCCATATAGTATTTCATCCCTCATATAGTAATTCATCCCTCATATAGTATTTCATCCCTCATATAGTATTTCATCCCTCATAGTATTTCATCCCTCATATAGTATTTCATCCCTCATATAGTATTTCATCCCTCATATAGTATTTCATCCCTCATAGTAGTATTTCATCCCTCATAGTATTTCATCCCCCCATATAGTATTTCATCCCTCATATAGTATTTCATCCCCCCATATAGTATTTCATCCCTCATATAGTAATTTCATCCCTCCCATATAGTATTCATCCCTCATATAGTATTTCATCCCTCATATAGTATTTCATCCCTCCATATAGTATTTCATCCCCCATATAGTATTTCATCCCTCATATAGTATTTCATCCCTCATATAGTATTTCATCCCTCATATAGTATTTCATCCCTCATATAGTATATAAAGTATTTCATCCCTCATAAAGTATTTCATCCCTCATATAGTATTTCATCCCTCATATAGTATTTCATCCCTCATAAAGTAATTCATCCCTCATATAGTATTTCATCCCCCACAGTACTATTCCCCCCCCCCTTCTAGTAAGCCAAGTCCCCCGTGTCAATTCACTTACCTTTTGCGTTCCTCTCGCTGTCTTCCCGCGCCGTTCGGGTCTTCAGGGCGGACTGTGAGAGGAGCCTAGCTCCCCTCCCCTCACGTTCGGCACGTTGCCCCGCCTACACACATCCTGACAGCCACATCCGCGGGCCGGATTAAAAGGTCCGCGCGGACTTTTGGGGCTGCCAACCGAGAGGAGGCAGGGGAGCGGCCCGACCGAGAGGAGGGAGGGGAGCAGGCGCCCGGCACACAGAAGAGCCGCATTAGAGTGGGTAAAGAGCCGCATGTGGCTCGCGAGCCGCGGCTTGCCGACCACTGATCTAGGACAGCCAGAATTCAATGGATTGTAAAGTCAAAATGTATTTCTTGTCTTACACTCTTTTAAGTTTTTTTTTTCTGTTTCATTTTTTCATGTAACTTCTTTGCTATCACAAATGAGCTAACAAACCCCCTATGTGCTAGCTTTGGGCGGGTGACAGGTACTTTATACATCTGAGTGTAGCAATTTATTAAAGAAAATAAAAACTAACATATACGCACTCACAGTAGTAGTGACTTCCTTAAATCAGGATCTGGATGAACCCTCCAATTGTCACACTGTAATATATAAGAAAGGGCGCCACCAGGGGTGGACTGACAACTCATAGGGCCCCCGGGCAATAGGGGATCATGGGGCCCCTGTGTCCTTGCCCAAACTCAAAAAAGTCTATGAAAAAGGTACCAGGGGCATCTCATGGGGCCCCCTACTGACCCCGGGCCCTCGGGCAGTGCCCAAGTTTCCAAATGGTCAGTCCGCCCCTGGTCACCACCATCTGAGTGTAGCAATTTATTAAAGAAAATAAAAAACTAACATATGCGCACTCACAGTAGTAGTGACTTCCTTAAATCAGGATCTGGATGAACCTTCCAATTGTCACACTGTAATATGTAATAAAGGGCGCCTCTGTCTAAGTCAGTGGTTCTCAACCTTCCTAATGCCGCGACCCTTTAATACAGTTCCTCATGTTGTGGTGACCCCCAACCATAAAATTATTTACCCAGTAATTATAATTCATGAAATGTCGTTTTACCTCCAATACTGCTGCTTTCAACACAGTAGCTGCTTTCAACACAGTAGCTGATCTTTACACATCGGAAATATGTGGTTTCCGATAGTCTAAGGCGACCCCTGTGAAAGGGCCATTCGACCCCCAAAGGGGTTACGACCCACAGGTTGAGAACCACTGGTCTAAGTGTAGCAATGTATTCCTTGTCACGTCTGGCTTCATTTGTTATGGAGGAGATGGGGGAATGGATGTCGTTGCTCGGTGTGAAATTATCCCAGCTGTTTATCGTGGTCTTGGGCTCCCCGGAGAAATGAGAGAACCCAGGAACCACTGCAGGCATTGGTGGGGGGGAGGGGAGGGGGTGAACTTTCTCAGTACCATAAAAGTGATCAGGTAGCTGTAGAGCCACCAGGATCACTTTTACTAAACAGCCAATCACTGGCTGCAAAGGATGACTGGCTACGGTTGGTGTCACCTTTATAGCCTTGTTATGTTCAGCCATTCATTTGTAGTGTATATGACATTTGCATTTCTTGCACTTTACAAATTTTAAAATGTTTGTCAATATGGTCAATGCATGGCAGCTGTACAAAGAGAGACACTCAGTGAGTTCCATCATTTCACCCTTCCCCCCATCTGCAGGGTTACGACAACTTCACCGCCTGTCAGGCCCTCACCAACATGGTCATCATGAATGCCTTTTCTTCTACCAGCACGGCCTACAGCCTATACAGCAGCATAGGGTAAGTGAAGATCAGCCACTCTTGCAGCCTCTCACCTTCTGATTAGCTACAAAGTTACAATATACAGTCTGATCACTGGGGGTGGGGAGACTGAAGAAATGATTCTTCCTGCCTGCAGCAGACTGATGACATCACCTCAGCCTAGGCAAAGTCACTGAATGGAGCTCAAAGATGGGTGTTTAATGATAAAAGGTGGAGCTTTTCTGAGAAATGATTCTGTTATTGAATAGAGTGACGTCTCAGGGATTTACTCATGGAGACTTGTTACTGAAAGGACAATTTTATTAATATTGCAGCTCAAAGGATGTTCTCCCTGCACTGATCTACAGTACTGTGAGCCAGCTGGGGGCCACAGCACCATCTAACCTGTCTTTCCGGAAGAACGCCCAGGTAGGGACAGTCCTAAGCTGAGTCTGCACCTGTATGTATTATTATGATATAGAGATAAACTCAGAATTAACAGGCTGCATGCAATCTGATCCTAGCAGCTCACAGCTGCCCTCTGTATACTGCCATGTTTCCTGCAGCCACCCTCTTTTTCCTTGTAAGGAAGCTTGTGGAAACAGGGAGCGTACTTTGAAACCGTTTACTGTGTAAACCTGGCACTTGGCTGTTAACCCCTTGTCCAGCGGCCTGGTCCATACTGGTGCATTGTTTTCCCTTACATAATTGCAAATGCCCAACTATGTACCCAGGGGCAGACTGACAACTCATGGGGCCCCGGGCAATAGGGAATCATGGGGCCCTTGTGTCCTTGCCCACACTCAAAGCACACCCAAAAAAGCCTATAAAAGGTACCAGGGGCATTTCATGGGGCCCCCTACTGACCCCAGGCCCTCGGGCAGTGCCCGAGTGCTCGAATGGTCAGTCCCCTGTATGTACCATAGTGTTGTGCATTGCAGTGCCATTCACGTTCAATAGCACCCCAATGCACTAGCACCAGGGGCGGACTGACCATTTGGAAACTCGGCACTGCCCGAGGGCCTGGGGTCAGCAGGGGGCCCCATGAGATGCCCCTGGTACCTTTTTCATAGGCTTTTTTGAGTTTGGGCAAGGACACAGGGGCCCCATGACCCCTATTGAAGTCCCGGGGTCAGTAGGGGGCCCCATGAGATGCCCCTGGTACCTTTTTCATAGGCTTTTTTGAGTTTGGGCAAGGACACAGGGGCCCCATGATCCCCTCTTGCCCGGGGGCCCCATGAGTTGTCAGTCCGCCCCTGACTAGCACAACGCATTTCTGCACGCCTGGGTTGTGTTGCACTACACAGCACTCACAAGAACGATCTGGCATTGCAGTGCATTACAGAAATCTGCCGTGGGCCATTTTGGGTGCATTGCGGCCCATTCAAGCTAAATGGGCTTCTTAACACAATGCACAATTTCCCCCCCCCCATGCGTTTCCACGTTCAACTGCCATTCTGCAGCAGTTGGAGGTTGTAGAGGAGCCGGGAATGGAGGGGGTCATGTGATCCCATGCTAATCTCTTCCCTATTGTCTCTAATGCAGGCCATACATTGTTCGAATTCCAAACAATTTTCGTACGAAAATCGGACCTAAGAATAATCAGCCGGTTTTCGCTCTGTTAGTGGGGCAATGGCATCGGCCGATTTTTGTGGTTCCTCCCCATTTCGTTTATCGGGCATGCTGGAAAATTCGTGAAAAACGACCGATTTTCGAAATCATTGGTGGCACCATCGGATTACAGAACGAGCAACATTTCAATTTTCAGATAAAAAATCGTTCAGAATTCGAATCATGTATGGCCTGCATTAGACTTGTGACAAAAAAAAATCCTTTATAAAGCAGATTTTAGTAATCCATCTCGTTGTGTTCCATGACAGATCCAGTTGCGGCTGGCAAAATACGACCTCCGTGGAAATTTCCTCGGCTGGCAGACCCTTAAAGGGGAACTTTGCAGGTGAGTCTGACCTGTGCGTGTAAGAGCCCTCGAATCGTATCGGCCGCTGGAGTGACCCTAACATGGTTGTAATGGCTTTGTTATGTACAGTGCACCTCCTAGCAACCTCAGGAGAGAAGCCGTGCTTTCAGGGAAATCTAAAGTCCTTATGTTCTGCCCCACCCCCAACGATTCCCAGAATCTGAGAACATTTTACGAATGAGAAAAGCCTAATTCATTCGAATTTATTATTTATAACAACAAATAGGCCACACCCCTTTTTAGCTGCTCCAGATCTCGGATCTCTCTGGTATAATTCGATTCAGCCCGCGATGCACCTAAGCAGAATGTTTTTGTAAATGAATTACATTTGAAGACCTGTCTCTGATGCCATGCTCTGCAGGTATGTCAGCGTTTGGGTATAAAAAGGACCACGCCTTTAAGATTCCCGGTTGTAGTCCTCACGCACGCGGGGCGTTTTGATAACGCTGGTAACGTTGGTGTGTAAAATCACATTAAATCGTTTTTCTGCTTTTTTAACCTTTTTGCATTAGCGTTTAGCAGTAGTTTGCCGCGATTAGTGGCGGTTTTCTGTGTTTGCATTTTTTTGTGGTTTTTTTTACCCCCCCCAAAAAAGTATTTTTTTGTAAAAAAAAATCCAAAATCGCCGGTTTGTGTCATTTTACCACGTTTTGCAGCATTTTTTTTTAAGCATTAGAGTGTTTTTACAGCTAAAAAAACCTCTAGAAGCCCACTAGTCCTGGGGTTTTTTTCTAGCCAAAAATCGTCCCAGCCAAAAAAAACGTTGATTCAAGTCTATGTGTGTATGGACACATAGGATAACATGCCGGGGATGGACACATAGGATAACATGCCGGGGATGGACACATAGGATAACATGCCGGGGATGGACACATAGGATAACATGCCGGGGATGGACACATAGGATAACATGCCGGGGATGGACACATAGGATAACATGCCGGGGATGGACACATAGCATAACATGCCGGGGATGGACACACAGGATAACACGCCGGGGATGGACACATAGGATAACATGCCGGGGATGGACACATAGGATAACATGCCGGGGATGGACACACAGGATAACATGCAGGGGATGGACACACAGGATAACATGCCGGGGATGGACACAGGGATAACATGCCGGGGATGGACACGTAGGATAACATGCCGGGGATGGACACATAGGATAACATGCCGGGGATGGACACATAGGATAACATGCCGGGGATGGGCACATAGGATAACATGCCGGGGATGGACACATAGGATAACATGCAGGGGATGGACACACAGGATAACATGCCGGGGATGGACACATAGGATAACATGCCGGGGATGGACACACAGGATAACATGCCGGGGATGGACACATAGGATAACATGCCGGGGATGGACACATAGGATAACATGCCGGGGATGGACACACAGGATAACATGCCGGGGATGGACACATAGGATAACATGCCGGGGATGGACACATAGGATAACATGCCGGGGATGGACACAGGAGAACATGCCGGGGATGGACACATAGGATGACATGCCGGGGATGGACACATAGGATAACATGCTGGGGATGGACACACAGGATAACATGCCGGGGATGGACACATAGGATAACATGCCGGGGATGGACACATAGGATAATAACATGCCGGGGATGGACACACAGGATAACATGCCGGGGATGGACACATAGGATAACATGCCAGGGATGGACACAGGAGAACATGCCGGGGATGGGGACACAGGAGAAACATGCCGGGGATGGGCACGTAGGATAACATGCCGGGGATGGGCACGTAGGATAACATGCCGGGGATGGACACGTAGGAGAACATGCCGGGGATGGGCACGTAGGATAACATGCCGGGGATGGACACGTAGGATAACATGCCGGGGATGGACACGTAGGATAACATGCTTGGGGGTTTACTGGCTGTAGAGAAAACATTGAAAGCCAAAAAAACAGCCGCTGTAAAAACATCCCGTGTGCATGAGGATGTATAGTCACTAATCCCCTGCACAGCAAACACTGGGAGAGGGAGGAGCAGCACTTTAAGCCAATCAGGGCTCTGCTGCTTTGCACAGTGCAGTCAGTGCCTACAGGAGAAGAGAGCAGAGGGATAACCTCCCCAGTGCGCTGATTCTCTTCCTTTGCCCAACCACAGGCTGGAGTCAGGATGGTGACGAAGATTTAAGATTTGTACTGAATTGTGATGTAACAGTATAATATTACATCCGGGCCGGGATAATGATGAGTGTTTGCTGTCTCTGTATGATATATATGATATCTGTTTATTGCAGATGTGTCCTAATACGCAGAGTGTGTGGGATGCGGCATTTAAATTTGGGACCTACTACAGCCTGTCTGTAAGTCACCATTTTCTTCATTTTTTTGCAGTGACGTTATTTCTCTCTCTCTCTCTCTTTCTCTCTCTCTCTTTCTTTCTCTTTCTCTCTCTTTATATATACAGTGGGGATCGAAAGTTTGGGCACCCCAGCTAAAAATTTGCATTAATGTGCATAAAGAAGCCAAGGAAAGATGGAAAAATCTCCAAAAGGCATCAAATTACAGATTAGACATTCTTATAATATGTCAACAAAAGTTAGATTTTATTTCCATCATTTACACTTTCAAAATAACAGAAAACCAAAAAATGGCGTCTGCAAAAGTTTGGGCACCCTGCAGAATTTATAGCATGCACTGCCCCCTTTGCAAAGCTGAGACCTGCCAGTGTCATGGATTGTTCTCAATCATCGTCTGGGAAGACCAGGTGATGTCAATCTCAAAGGTTTTAAATGTCCAGACTCATCTGACCTTGCCCCAACAATCAGCACCATGGGTTCTACTAAGCAGTTATCTAGAAAACTGAAACTGAAAATAGTTGACGCTCACAAAGCTGGAGAAGGCTATAAGAAGATAGCAAAGCGTTTTCAGATGTCAATATCCTCTGTTCGGAATGTAATTAAGAAATGGCAGTCATCAGGAACAGTGGAAGTTAAAGCAAGATCTGGAAGACCAAGAAAAATATCAGACAGAACAGCTCGCAGGATTGTGAGAAAAACAATTCAAAACCCACGTTTGACTGCACGATCCCTCCAGAAAGATCTGGCAGACACTGGAGTTGTGGTACACTATTCCACTATAAAGAGATACTTGTACAAATATGGTCTTCATGGAAGAGTCATCAGAAGAAAACCTCTTCTACGTCCTCACCACAAAAATCATCGTTTGAACTTTGCAAATGAACATATAGACAAGCCTGATGCATTTTGGAAACAAGTTCTGTGGACCAATGAGGTTAAAATTGAACTTTTTGGCCGGAATGAGCAAAGGTATGTTTGGAGAAGAAGGGGCACAGAATTTAATGAAAAGAACCTCTGTCCAACTGTTAAGCATGGGGTTGGATCAGTCATGCTTTGGGGTTGTGTTGCAGCCAGTGGCACAGGGAACATCTCACGAGTAGAAGGAAAAATGGATTCAATAAAATTTCAGCAAATTTTGGATGGTAACTTGATGCCATCTGTGAAAAAGCTGAAGTTAAAGAGAGGATGGCTTCTACAAATGGATAATGATCCTAAACACACCTCGAAATCCACAGGGGATTATATCAAGAGGCGCAAACTGAAGGTTTTGCCATGGCCTTCACAATCTCCTGACCTCAACATAATTGAAAATCTATGGATAGACCCTAAAAGAGCAGTGCGTGACAGACAGCCCAGAAATCTCAAAGAACTGGAAGACTTTTGTAAGGAAGAATGGGCAAAGATACCTCAAACAAGAATTGAAAGACTCTTGGCTGGCTACAAAAAGCGTTTACAAGCTGTGATACTTGCCAAAGGGGGCAGTACAAGATATTAACTCTGCAGGGTGCCCAAACTTTTGCAGACGCCATTTTTTTGTTTTCTGTTATTTTGAAAGTGTAAATGATGGAAATAAAATCTAACTTTTGTTGACATATTATAAAAATGTCTAATCTGTAATTTGATGCCTTTTGGAGATTTTTCCATCTTTCCTTGGCTTCTTTATGCACATTAATACAAATTTTTAGCTGGGGTGCCCAAACTTTCGATCCCCACTGTATATATATATATATATTGGGATAGTATAACGATGCAGGATATGTTGAGAAGATACTAAGATCTCTTCCACATGGGGAGCAACAGAGTGGTAAAAATAGGAATTTGATCTGTGTTTTTACCACCCTGACCACCCACCTAAAACCTAACATGGCAGCTAGAGGGGTTCATACACATGCTGTGGCTGCAATGCTTTGCTTCACGGCAAATTTGAAATGTTACTAAACCCACAACAGTAAAATCAGTCTGTATATGCAGTAAAGCATGTTTGTTATACTCACTGTGGCACCTAAGGGGCTAATCCTCTGCATAGTGTAAAAAGGATGGTTGATTCCATCTTCTCTGATCCTCCCCTTCTTTTACTGTCCCCAATCCATCTGCTGATAGTACAGAGCCCTAGAAGTCACTCTGCACATGCTAAGTTTAGTGTGTGTTGTTGGAGAGTTTTGCACTTTGCCAATCAGCCCTCTCCAGACAGAGGGTCAGGGGTTATGTAGCCTCATAGGACAGTCAGAGCAGAATAAAAACTCCTCCTACAAGCTTTAACCAGTGTTCAGCCGGACATTGATAGAAGGCACAAGACTGCTATATACTGCTTATAAGGAAAGGTATTTAGCAGTTTATATTTACTAAAATAATTGCATTCCCATGTTCGGTGTACTGAGGGAGACCAGATATAGTGAATGCAGGGTCCGGGGAGACCGGATATAGTGAATGCAGGGTCCGGGGAGACCGGATACAGTGAATTCAGGGTCTGGGAGACCAGATATAGTGAATGCAGGGTCCGGGGAGACCAGATATAGTGAATGCAGGGTCCGGGGAGACCAGATATAGTGAATGCGGGGTCCGGGGAGACCAGATATAGTGAATGCAGGGTCCTGGGAGACCAGATATAGTGAATGCAGGGTCCGGGAGACCAGATATAGTGAATGCAGGGTCCGGGGAGACCAGATATAGTGAATGCGGGGTCCTGGGAGACCAGATATAGTGAATACAGGGTCCGGGGAGACCAGATATAGTGAATTCAGGGTCCGGGGAGACCAGATATAGTGAATGCAGGGTCCGGGGAGACCAGATACAGTGAATGCAGGGTCCGGGGAGACCGGATATAGTGAATGCGGGGTCCTGGGAGACCAGATATAGTGAATACAGGGTCCGGGGAGACCAGATATAGTGAATTCAGGGTCTGGGAGACCATATATAGTGAATGCGGGGTCCCGGGAGACCAGATATAGTGAATGCGGGGTCCGGGGAGACCAGATATAGTGAATGCAGGGTCCTGGGTTTAGTAACGCTTTAAGGTGATAGGCTTCATTAAAATAAAGAAGATGTTATACTTACCTGCTCTGTGCAACAATATTGCACAGAGGGTTCCCTTTACCTCCTCTTCTGAATTCCACCGCTGATACTATCACCTTCTGCCTCCTTAGTAAGCCAGGTGCTAAGAAGGCACCAGTGCATGTGCATTCCTGAGCTGGGTTGAGTGCATCCATAGACACACACAGTGCCACTAAGCCCCACCTCTTCCCTCCCCTCCCTTCTAACAGGAGTTTGACTGACAGCAGCAGGAGCCTATGAACCTGCTGCTCTTAGTGTCTCCAGTGAGACCAGGATGTGTAGGGAGCGTTGTTGTTGTAATGGAGACAGTGCTGGAGCGGTGAGAGGAGTCAGGTTAATGTTTAGGGATGGGGGGGGGACAAGCAGTGGGGTGTTTTTGAATTAATATAGAAAGTACATTGAGGTAAAACCAAAACTTCTGACTTTAGAACCACTTTAACTTTGACATAAGGCACTGCCGGTCAAACTTACCCACTGAAGTCAGTAGCACTGCAAATGTAAGCACTTAGCTTCAAAATCCCCCATCAGATGGTGAAGAAAAAACTCACCCAAAAAAAACTCCCAGGCATGTAAGGCCCCTTTCTCACCGTCCCCAATGGTGTCACTCCCACGCATGTGCACAGGAGTATCATTGCGGCACGGTGCTCTCTGCCAGGGCTGCTGTTAGAAACCACGGGGCCCAATACAGCCAACCTTATAGGTCCCTATCAAAAAAAGCACAGCTTTCTATGCTTCAATTATTAGTGAACACAGTGAGTGATCGGTACTGATCACTCATTGTGTTCATTCAGGAAAGGAAGGGGCTGGTAAATGTGACATATTTAACAGACCCTTCCACCATCCTGAAGGATCCTAGTGTGTGCTTGGGATGGAAAGGAGGGAAGCTGGCAGCACTGAGGGGGTGGGGGCACACAGGAGGGCCTGGGCAGCAGGAGGAAACAAATGGTGCACAGGAAGTGTGAAGGGTGAGGTGGGAGGGTGTGGGTTCAATTACTAGATCTGATCCTCTGTATGGCACTTTCTGCAGCAGCTGGAAGTCAGTGGGAGGAAGAAGAGCTAGAAGGAAGAACCCAGCTTTCAGCTACTTCAGAGAGAGCCATACAGAGGATCAGTTTGAGTAATTGCCCCTCCCCATTGAACCGATCACCCTCCCTGCCCATATCAAATTCCCTCAGCTGTCTGGCCCCCCCTGCTGGCCTGGGCCCCATACAGGAGGACTGGTGGTACCCACTCAACCAAAGCCCTACTCTCTGCCTTCAGGGCACACTGACTGTGGCCGGAGTGCAGAACGTTACTGCGCTTTGGGGATGTTCACCATATCTAGGGCAGCACAGTGGCTAAATGGTTAGAACTTCCGCCTGGCAGTACTCGGGTTGTTGGTTCGAAATCCCACCCATGGCACCACCTGCCTGGAGTTTACATGTTCTCCCTGTGCCTGCATGGGATTCCTCTGGGTACTCCGGTTTCCTCCCACACTCCAAAGACATGCTGGTAGGTTAAATTTGGGCTCCTGTCTAAATTGGCCCTAGTATGTATATGTATGAATGTCAGTTAGGGACCTTAGATTGTACGCCCCTTTGACGGCGCTATATATAAGTACCTGAAATAAATAAATACATAAATATCTACAGGTGAGACTTGACATAAGTTTACCTGTAGGTACGAATGAAAAAACTGATTTTACAACCACTTTAACTTTAACCACCTTAACCTCTTATAATAGTTGATAAAACATATTAACAATATAACATGTAACAATATAATAAATAACAAATATAACAATTCTAACAATCTAACATATAATAAAATAATAAATATAACAATTATAACAATATAATATACAACAATTATTGCAATTATAACAATATAACAGATAACAATATAACATGTAACAATATAATAAATAACAAATATAACAATTATAACAATATAACAGATAACAACATAATATATATAACAATATAACATATAACAATCTAACATATAACAATCTAACATATAACAATATAATATATAACAATTATTGCAATTATAACAATATAACATATAACAATATATATCATACAACAATTATTTTTCTCTATCAATACAAGCATGACCACCGCAGTGCTGAGCTCAAAGGCCAAGCGATGTGCAGGTTGGGACTAACCCCCCCGCCATCCTCTGTGTTGGTGACACATTAACTATGATGGAATGTTAGTCCACATAAGAGGGATTGAGTGCGTTACATTGTAACATTATTAGAAGAAAAAATAAACGTGTTTCATTCTACATTTAGTTGGAATCCCCTTTTAGAATTTAGGATTGTTCTGTGACTTGTTATTCGGATTTAGACACATAGGGGTTTATTTACTAAAGCTGGAGAGTCCAAAATCAGACTCCCTTCTGCATAGAAACCAATCAGCTTCTAACCTCAGCTTGTTCAATGAAGCTTTGGCAATGAAACCTGGAAGCTGATTGCTTTCTATGCAGAAGGGAGTCTGATTTTGGACTCTCCAGCTTTAGTAAATAAACCCCATTGTGTATATTTTCTGGTAACAACAGACCCCAGTGACAGCGGCTTGGCGATTTTTGTATAAAGGCAGCCCGGAGTCTTCTATGTCAGTATAGTTAATGTTTGTTGCGTGTGGTGCAGCGTAGGTGGACAGAGGATTGGGATATCGGCCACGATTGGCTGTTACAATTGAAATTCCTTCTGTATTCATGATCCAGCCATTGCCCTGTAATACCGTCATCCTGTGATTTCAGTGTTCTCTGGCCGTGTCCGACCTCTTCCAAGCCGTACCGGAGCCTGTATTCTATGAGCTCTTCCTCCTCTACACCAGTACCCGCGGTGCCAGCATGCTGTGGCCCATACCAGTGTGGAATGCCAACATCCAGGGTGGCTCAGGTAGGTCATAGTCACTATTGTTCAAAGATTTGAGAATGGTAATGATGACAAAGGAATTCCATGGAGAGTCTTAATATCTATTCTTTCAGTAGCAGATCCCAATCCATGTCAGGGGGCCTCACGCACCTGAGGAGCAGGAGGGCCAGCTGTACTGTCCTATCGCTGAAACCAATCCCCATCTGGCTCCTCCTGCAGCCCAGCTGGATTCTCCTCTTCTCTCTCCCATCAGCTGTGTTGCAGGAGGAGCCACAAGGGGATCCACTATCTGTCCCCTTATAGCTCCTATAACACCCCCCTTCCCTCTGTTCTCTTCCCCCTATGTACCCCCTTACAGTACTGCTGGCTTCTCCTCCTCTCCCTCCTACCTTCTGCACTGCAGGGGTGCCCATGGGGTATCGGTTCTAGTATCTGTGCCCCCGCCACTCTGATGACAACCACCCCCTTTCCTGCTACACCAATCCCCCTGTAACAGCAGTCCTGATCTGGGATCTGGTAAGTTGTATCCCAATGAGGCTTCTTATATATTTCCTATAGAGCCCAGCAGGGAGATTTCCCCACCAGAATTCACAGTTCTGCCAATTATCACAGTCATTACAAAGCAACATATTGGTAACACCCGCTGAGACAAATTCTACATAATAGAGAGTAAGCAAATAATTGTGGGAGGGGCAGAGACCCCAATTAGTGCAAGGAGGTCTCCCCATTGTGGGAGGGGCAGAGACACAAACTATTGCAAGGAAGTTTCCACATTGTGGGAGGGGCAGAGACACAAAGTAATGCAAGGTAATTTCCCTATTGTAGGAGGGGAAGAGACAAATTGCTGCAGGGAAATCTCCCCATTGTGGGAGGGGCAGACACACAAACTACTGCAGGGAAATCTCCCCATTGTGGGAGGGGCAGACACACAAACTACTGCAGGGAAATCTCCCCATTGTGGAAGTGGCAGAGACACAAAAAACTGCAGGAAAATCTCCCGATTGTAGGAAGGGCTGAGACACAAACTGTTGCAGGGAAATCTCACCATTGTGGGAGGGGCCGAGACACAAATTACTGCAGGGAAATCTCCCCATTGTGGGAGGGGCAGAGACACAGTACTGCAGGGAAATCTCCCCATTGTGGGAGGGGCAGAGACACAAATTACTGCGGGGAAATCTCCCCATTGTGGGAGGGGCAGAGACACAAAATACTGCAGGGAAATCTCCCCATTGTGGGAGGGGCAGAGACACAAAATACTGCTGGGAAATCTACTCTCCATTGTGGGAGGGGCAGAGACACAAAATACTGCAGGGAAATCTCCCCATTGTGGGAGGGGCAGAAACGCAAAATACTGCTGGGAAATCTCCCCATTGTGGGAGGGGTAGAGACACAAAGTACTGCAGGGAAATCTCCCCACTGTGGGATACGGAGACAGAAACAATTTTTTTCCTGTCTATCTCCGATGTTCCTTTTTAACTAGAGAACCCATTTTTATAATTTAAGCAAAGTATGCAAATTGCCTTAGGCATGCTGGGATTTGTAGTGCAACACTTGTAAAGCAGGATGGTAACTGACCTCTGATGTCCCATGATTCCGCAGGCACCCTTGGCTCCATCCCTCTCCGGCGGTTCTTCCTGATTGATGGTATCTCCGGCAGACAGGCCAACCTTTCTAGTCAGCCCTCCTCTGTCACCGTCGCTACAAGCCTCACCCTGAGGTAACGCCATTATCTATTTGTGCTCCACCTGAAACATCTGCTGCACTGCATTACTAACCACTGCACCTCCTTCCAAACAGCATTTACCTACCAGTCAGCCCTCCAAGCAGCCAGCCGCCTTTCCAGCTTACTGTGACATATCAGAAACGAAGCCTACAGACTTCAGCGCAGGTCAGTGCCTAGGACAGGGGTGTATTTACCACAAGGCAAACAAGGCACTTGCCTAGGGCGGCATTTTCCAGAGGGCAGCACCTCTCCCCAGAAGAAGGGATGGAAGAAGGGACACGTGCTCTATGGGAACCAGGTGGAATCCAAGAGGGGCTGTGGGCTGCTTGATGGTGTATGTAGAGCCTGAATCTTGTTCCCGGGGATGTCCAGAGCTGTGAAGATGGGTGTATTTTGCTCTATTGCCGGGGGGGGGGGGAATAATGGAAGGCTCTCACAGGTGGGGGGGGCAGGGGTGTTGTTGGTCGATGTCAGGCTCTCAATGTGGGAGGGGGGAAGGGGTGATGTTGGTTGGTGTCCATGGGGGGCAGACAATTTGTGTGTTGCCTAGGACAGCAGAAAACCTAAAAATACACCACTGGCCTAGGATAGATTTCCCAGAATCCTTTGCTGGCTGTGCATTATCAGAACAGTCAAAGAAATTTGAGAGCAGTTTACAATCAAATCCTTTCTTTTTAATTCACTTCCTGACACCTTGGTATATTAATATTGTTACATTGTCACCTTGACTTTAATTCATGTTTTTAATGAGGGGAATGAGAAATAAATATAGAATGAACAGGCTGCATGGTGTGTGATCCCAGAGCATTTACTGCTGTCACTCATATTTCCCTACAGATTGCAGAGTCTGTTCTTGCATGATTGTATTACATTGTATCATCGTTGTCACTAAGCTAGCGGGGTGTAATCACTGTGATTGACAGCTGTGAAAAAAAAAATGAGCATTTCAGAGTAAAGCTACTTTCACACTGACCCGCTGCAAAAAACACAACAAAAACACATAGGCGTTTTTACCGCGCTTTTGCCGTGCTTTCTGAGCATTTCTAAAGTACACGGGACTAAAAAACTGCACCAAAAACGCTTTTCAGGGGAGTTTTTTAGGAGTTTTCCATTGATTACAATGGGAAGAGGCGTTTTTGGGGCGTTTTTTTTAACTCACTAAACATGCCCCAAAGATGCACAAGCGGGAATTTTTACACCGCACCACAAGCGCAACATCTCAGTGTGAAAACATACATAGATTTATATTCACATACATAGGGAAGCATTTTTCTTGAGCTTTTCAGGCGCTTTTTTTTTTAATGCAAAAACCCTTCAAAAACTCCTCAGTGTGAAAGTAGCGTACAATAAAACACAATCTCTGGCCAAATTGTTAACTCTGAACGATCTACTAAAATGGATTTTACACTTTTATACATAACCCCTTTAAAGTTGCTGGAAATCCTATCTGATTGACATTCAATTTGGTCTGTGCGCTGATCTCCTGCAGACTCTTTGCAGCCATTTCATGTCTACACGCTCTCTAGCGGTAGCTGCATTACATTTCTCAGAGTGGGTTTCCTGATGGTGACAACAGTGGGCCATGCCTGCATAATGTGTGTTGAAATTGTCACGTGAAGTCTTCATTGGAAGCCCGAGGGACAACACAGCAGTACAATTGGCAGACAGGGACAGAATGTTGTCACCCTTTAACAGGAAGTGCCTGAATCTTCATGGCAGGATCACCAGGGATAGATTTATTGAAATTTGCAGATTTAAAAAAAAAAAAACTTTTTATATGTTATTAACATTTTCAACATTATATGAAGTTTTGCTGACTGTATGTAGCACTTACACATTGCCCAGTTTTACTAATTCCTTCTTTTTTTTTTCTTTTTCTTCTCAGGTTTCATTTGCTGTCACATATACGCAGAGCCAGGGGACATTTAAAAGAGATATGGATGTGAGTGATCTCTGTCCGCAGTGTCCCTGCAGACTGACGTTTCAGCCATACAAATTTAATTAGGGGTTCTGTTATGTATAATGAAAAGCAAAATTACAACCATTCATTTTTATATGTTAAAGATCCCACTGACCCCAAGCTCCTCCACTGACAATCAATCTGTAACTGATTCCTCCCATGACCCCATCGATGGGTTATTCCTCCCACTGACCCCAATCGATGAGGCAAGGATTCCTACCACAGGTGAAGGGTATTCCTCCCACGTTTGGATGGGGGGGGTATTCCTTCCACTGATCCCATCATGGGGCATATTCCTCCCAGGGACCCCATCGACGGGGCACCATTCCTCCCACTGACCCCATCGACTGGGCACCATTCCTCCCAGGATGTATCGAGTTACTGGGCACCATTCCTCCCAGACCCCAGACTGGGCACCAAACTTCCTCCCAGACCCCATCGACTGGGACCATTCCTCCCACTGACCCCATCGACTGGGCACCATTCCTCCCACTGACCCCATCGATGGGGAACTATTCCTCCAACTGACCCCCATCGATGGGCGCACCATTCCTCCCACTGACCCCATCGATGGGGCACTATTTCCTCCCACTGACACCATCAATCGGGAACTATTCCTCCCACGGATCCCATCGAGTGGGCACTATTCCTCCCAGAGCGATGGGGTCTATTCAAACTGACCCCATCGATGGGGCCCTATTTCCTCCCCTTTACTGACACCATCAATCTATTCCTCCCACTGGACCCCATTGATGGGGAACTATTCCTTCCACTGATCCCATCATGGGGCACCATTCCTCCCATTGACCCCCATCGACTGGGCACCATTCCTCCCACTGACCCCATCGATGGGCACCATTCCTCCCACTGACCCCATTCACCATTCCTCCCACTGACCCCATCGATGGGGAACTTTCTATTCCTCCAACACTGACCCCCATCGATGGGGCACCATTCCTCCCACTGACCACATCGATGGGGCACCATTCCTCCCACTGACCCCAATCGATGGGGCACTATTCCTCCCACTGACCCCATCAATGGGGAAACTATTCCTCCTACTGACCCCATCAATGGGGAACTATTCCTCCTACTGACCCCATTGATGGGACACTATTCCTCCCACTGACACCATCAATGGGGAACTATTCCTCCAACTGACCCCCATCGATGGGGCACCATTCCTCCCACTGACCCCATCGATGGGGGCACTATTATCCCACTGAACCCTCGATGGGGCACTATATTCCTCCCACTGACCCCATCAATGGGGAACTATTCCTCCTACTGACCCCATTGCTGGGACACTATTCCTCCCACTGACACCATCAATGGGGCACTATTCTTCCCACTGACCCCATCAATGGAGCACTGTTCCTCCCACTAACCCATCAATGGGGCACTATTCTTCCCACTGACAGCATTGGTGGGCACACTAATCTTCCCATTGATACCAAAACTATGGGGCACTGTTCCTTCCATTCAAAAACCAATGATGAGGCATTGTTTATGCCTACTGATGCTGGGACATTTTCTGCTCCCACTAGTCACAGTCCGGTCCCCAGAAAACAGGCCTTTTGCTTAGAAAGTTTGGAGACCCCTAGGTTAGAGGGTTAGGGCGAGGCTTGGGGTTAGTAGGGTTTTGTCAGGGATACAGGGTTAGGGATAGGGATACGAGTTAGGGTTAGTAGGAATATAGTCAGGAATACAGGCTTGGGGTTGGAGGGTTGAGGATTCAAGGTGAGGCTTAGGGTTAGTAAGGTTATTGTCAGGGATATAGAGTTAGGGCTGGGAGGTTTAATATTAGGGATACAGGATGAGGGTTGGGAGGGTTACATGGTTAAAAAAATTTAGAGTTAGGGTTAGTGGGTTTGAGATACAGAGTTAGGGTTTAGAGCAGTGGTCTCCAAAACTGCGGCCTGGGGGCCAGATGTGGCACTCGTCGTTCCTTTATCTGGCCCTTAGAGTACTATTCTACATACTGACTCGATGGGGCACCATTCCTCCCACTGACCCATCGATGGGGCACCATTCCTGCCACTGACCCATCGATGGGGCACCATTCCTGCCACTGACCCCATCAATGGGACACCATTCCTCCCATTGACCCCATCAAATGGGACACTATTCCTCCCACTGACCCCAATCGATGGGGCACCATTCCTCCCACTGACCCTTTCGATGGGGGCACCATTCCTCCCACTGACCCATTGATGGGGGGGCACCATTCCTCCCACTGACCCCATTGATGGGGCACCATTCCTCCCACTGACCCCATCGATGGGGCACCATTCCCACTGACCCACTGACCCCATCGACCCCATCGGGGGCACCATTCCTCCCACTGACCCCATCGATGGGGCACCATTCCTCCCACTGACCCCATCGATGGGGCACCATTCCTCCCACTGACCCCATCGATGGGGCACCATTCCTCCCACTGACCCCATTGATGGGGCACCATTCCTCCCACTGACCCCATCGATGGGGCACCATTCCTCCTACTGACCCCATCGACGGGGCACTATTCCTGTCAGTGTTCGTTTTAGGACTGTTAGGGGGTTATGGTTTCTTTGCTGTGTTGGTGACCATTAAAAGACTTTGCACAAGAGCCTGTGCAGCTATAGAGAACACTTTTTTTTAAATGTTTTGTTTACTATACAAGCACTACAAAATAAATATATTTTAGGTTAGGTTTTTTTTTTGTCAATGTTTAATATTATTGTTTATTAATATTTTGTGTTCTTATATATGTTAAGCTTCTTTGCTATTTAGAGAGCTCAGTAGCTCAAGCTACAGTTTACAAAAACAAGTGAATGAGACAGCACTGACCTATTTATAAAAACCTGAAATGTTTTTCAGCAAAACATGCTTTCTGTATTCTGCAGATTGCGCTCGGAGTCTTGGGCTCACTTGCTGCTGTTGTAGCCATCTTGGAGACCACTAGTTGGCTGCGGAGATCAGGTCAGCAGAATATTGGGATAATGGTGAGTACTGCGTTGATCAGCTGTTGGATGAAGATGTCCATGAAGTCACAAATCTCCCTATACTGATCCCACGAATGTCACTCTGGCCCTGGCATGACAGTGAAGATGATAATGGCATCTCCTGAGAGTCCTGAGCCCTGCTGCACAAGAGATCACAGCAAACTGATAGAGAGTTACATATAGTACTTTTATTCTCTGTTTTTGTATCAAGATCATAAGTAATACACATATTCCACAAAATGCGATTATCGTTTCAGCTTTGCAAAATATTGTTACATTCATACAGCATTTTTATTTCTGATAAAATGTTGTCAATATTGCCCATGTTTCTTGTGGTCGAAATGTACTCCTATATTTTTCAGGTGATAATTAAATTTTTGGCGTTTTCCTGCGGAGCTCTGGCAAACACATTTTTCCTTGTTGTCTATGGAACATCAATCTACTGGCTAATTGCATTTAAGGTATTCTTATTAGTTCCCAGTCACATTAGTCTTTATTATTATACATTTATATAGCTCTGGCATATACCATAGTGCTGTACAGAGAACACTGAGCCAGTCACAGCAGTCTCTGCACCAGAGGAGCTTACACTCTAATGTCCCCCCACAGTCACACACTATTATTATACATTTATATAGCTCTGACATATACCGCAGTGCTGTACAGAGAACACTGAGCCAGTCACATCAGTCTCTGCACCAGAGGAGCTTACACTCTAATGTCCCCCCACAGTCACACTACTATTATATACATTTATATAGCTCTGACATATATCATAGTGCTGTACAGAGAACACTGAGGCTGTAACAGCAGTCTCTGCACCAGAGGAGCTTACACTCTAATATCTCACCCACAGTCACACGCTATTATTGATATACATTTATATAGCTCTGACATATACCACAGTGCTGTACAAAAAACACTGAGCCAGTCACATCAGTCTCTGTACCAGAGGAACTTACACTTCAGTGTCACTGGATTTGATTTGCACAGTGTACACATTAGAGTGTTTTACCATCATTATCTCACTATCTCCCACTATTCCCCATCAGGGTCAGACAACGGCAGTGACGGTCACCTTGCCTCCATCCGGTGGTCAGGTTGAGACTGATTTTATCATCTATATGTCGTTGGCGTTCGCCCTAAAGGTAAAGTGTGTGGTATTGGCCGGGGAGTCTGGGCTCAGTGTGGAATTGGATGCCTCATACTCTCTTGTTTGCAGGTGTTGGAATTGCTCCACCTGCTGGTCACTCAGCTAACTGCCAACATTTTCCTCATCGACTGGGAGAGATCGAAGGACCAATCAGCATCCAATTCACAAGGTACAGTGCAATAAAATGACAAATTGCTCCTTATGGATGGGATGACCCCCCCCCCCCCCCCCACCCCTTCCCCGTCCAAAAAATACAGAGGCCCTTTACAAGATATACTACTGAAAGGCTAAACATCTTTTAATGAATTGGTCTTGTATATGGGGAAAATGGGTCATAATATCACATTTTCTTTCCTTGTCTGTAATAGTTTATGTAGCCAAAGAAAAATTGAGAATGAGTAGAAAAGAAATACATTTTGGTCAATGCAGTTTTGCAGATCAGGAGATCAAAAGAAAATGAAATTACAAATTTATAATCAACCTTATCTGATATATATAGAATTTGTTATTTTACTACAGTTTTAGTTATTTAAATTTGATAATATATATATATATATATATATATATTTATATATATCTATATTATATTTAAATGTGAGCTATATTGAAATGTGAACAATTAAAGGAAACACATATACACACACACACATATATATATATATATATATATGTGTGTGTGTGTGTGTGATATGTTAATACATTTTCTTAATTTAAAAAAATAATAATAATAATAATAAATATAGAATTTCAATTTCAACGTTTAAATGTTTTTTTGCGCTAGCAAAATGAAAGGTAAATTTGTTGGCAGAGTTGGCATGCTGAGACTTGTGCTTTGCCCACAGTTCTGTTAGGTAGGTAGGTATATTATTTATAAAGCTAGCACCTTTTTTTAATCACTTTAATCGAGTTTTGCCTTCCAGGGAAATCCAGTGTGAGTATATGGAGGACGGTCCTGGTGGCAAATGAATGGAATGAGATCCAGACTTGCCGGAAACTAAGCCCAATGTTCCAGCTCTTCATGGTTCTGCTACTTCTAGAGGTGATGTCTAAAGTGTATTTCTGCCTTTTAGAAAAAAAAAATGGGTTTCATCACTTGGCAATAACCTGCAGTATTGTATTAATGCCTTTACCTCATTTTGAGTGTTTTTGTGCTGTGTTATGTGCCAAATGTCCTGTTAACCAGAAAGCAGTTGATACAAAATACTTGTTGCTATTTCTTAAACATTCAAGAATTCCCAGGAGACATCTCCTCCCCTTAATGACAGTGTTAGGATGAGCGAACACTGAGGGAAACAGACATGTGAGAGGTTCACGTTGGCCTTCAGGTTGTGAGAGCAGAATAAAACTCTGCAAATCTTCTTTCATCTACATGATATAAACTTACTATTGAAAAGAGCTGCAAAATGTTAACAATCTAAGCATAAAAAATATTGATGTCTTAAGCATTCACACGCACAACTCATTTACATATTGTTTGTAATATAATTATCTCTTCTGATAGTCTGCACCATCTAGTGGCCATAATGGCGGTATTAAAAAAAAATACATATTATGGCCACTAGCTGGAGCTGAAGATCATAGGAGATAATCATATTACAAACAATATGGGGATCATTTGTTGTCATCTGTGCAGATTATTTATATTTCTGAAAACTACAATTAAATGAATATATAGCTCCTCAGTTTAACATCCTGCCCACATCTCCATGCAGGTTGTTGGTCTTAAAAACTTCACAGCCAAGGACCTGAACTTGGACTTGAACCCTTCTGCTGGATCTTACCAGGCCCCCTGGAGCATCATCCTGAGGTTCGGAATCGCAGCCTCCATGTGGCTAGCTGTTGGCCTGGTACAGGTACATGATAAGGAGCACTGGGGGTATTGCCCATAGTTTTCTGCCGGCAGACACTGTTTAACACTGCGGATGGGGGGGGGGGGATCAGGTGATTCTTATTTGGTTGGCATATGGATCTTATATAACATTATAGGATATTGTAGAGAGGTGCACTAGGAGGGATTGATATAAAATATTTGTGTGAAGTGTGCAAATGCTATAAAGACACTTTGATGTTAAACTCATTGAAAGTCAACAATCCATGTATATATTTATCATAACAAATGTATACAAAAATAAGTGCATGCAAATATAATAAATGTATGCAAATATACAAACAAATGTATCCAAATATAATAACAAATGTATCCAAATATAAAACAAATGTATCCAACTATAATAACAAATGTATCCAAATATAAAAACAAAGGTATCCAAATATAATAACAAATGTATCCAAATATAAAAACAAAGGTATCCAAACATAAAACCAATGCATTCAAATATAAAAGAAATATATACCAATATAATAACAATGGTATCCAAATACTGTATAAAAGCAAATGTTTTCAAATATAAAAACAAAGGTATTCATATATAAAAACAAATGTCTTCAAATATAAAGAGAAATGTATCCAAACATAATAACAAAGGTATCCAAATATAATAATAACTGTATACACATATGAAAACAACTGTATTCAAATAATAAAAACAAAAATTCTACAAATATAATACCAAATATATACAAATATAGTAGCACAGCGGTAATCTATACAAATGCGATTGAACAACATGCGCCCTTATTGAATAGTTGAGTAAACACAGAGCAGGATATGATAGATGAGGACAATTCACAAAGCTTTAACACACTGAAAGAATCATTTCCCCTGATGCGTTTTTCATCTAAATCAATAGGAATGCATGTCAGCATGTGTTGTTGCCCTTTCTCGATGTGTATTACAATGCACTTTGTACTGAATGTCAACTGGCATTATAACACCGACATGTTTTAAGGCTCCTTTTTCCTTTTCCAGTGCTTTGGTGATGCATTGTTGGGTATTTTGTTGGTCACACATTCTAACATTTATTGGTACAATCTTTTTTAGATTTGCCCAAAGCAATGTATATCAAGGACATGATAAAAAAAATGTATTGTAATGGAGTGTGCTGCTTTTACCATCCTGTCCTGGTGACAGCTGCTTTTTTAATTTTCTGTGCAGTTGTCGCCAGGATCGGAAAATGGGAGGAAATCTACCCAATGGGGTTACAAACAGGAATAAAAACATTACAGATATTGTAACTCTTCCCCATTATAGGGAGATTCAGGAGACATAAGGTGCCCACATAATGAAATGTTTCTATCTGGAGCTGTAGGAAGATAAAGAATCTCCTTAATGGCTGCCAAGGAGGTCTCACTGCAAAACCACTACAGATATTAATTCACTTTATTTTACAGGTTCTCTTCTTCATTTTCATCTATGAACGATTTGTTGAAGACAAAATTAGACAGTTTGCCGACCTCTGTTCTCTCAGCAATGTGAGTGTTTATATGTCCAATCACAGCAAAACCATATCCTATATAAGGATATATATATTGTATCTTCTATGTGGAGAGCAGTGATGTCACTCCTGTATAATATATCTTACAGTATATCTGGAGAGCGGTGATGTCACTCCTGTATAATATATCTTACAGTATATCTGGAGAGCGGTGATGTCACTCCTGTATAATATATCTTACAGTATATCTGGAGAGCGGTGATGTCACTCCCGTATAATATATCTTATATCTGGAGGGCGGTGATGTCACTCCTGTATAATATATCTTATATCTGGAGAGCGGTGATGTCACTCCTGTATAATATATCTTATATCTGGAGAGCGGTGATGTCACTTCTGTATAATATATCTCTTATATCTGGAGAGCGGTGATGTCACTTCTGTATAATATATCTTACATATGTCGAGCTGTGACGTTACTCCTATATAATATATATTCTATGTGGAGAGTGGTGATGTCACTCCTGTATAATATAACTTATATTTGGAGAGCTGTGATGTCACTCCTGTATAATATAACTTATATTTGGAGAGCTGTGATGTCACTCCTGTATAATATAACTTATATCTGGAGAGCGGTGATGTCACTTCTGTATAATATATCTTATATCTGGAGAGCGGTGATGTCACTCCTGTATAATATATATCTTATATCTGGAGAGCGGTGATGTCACTTGTGAATAATATATCTTATATCTGGAGAGTGGTGATGTCACTCCTGTATAATAATATATGTTATATATCTGGAGGGTGGTGATGTCACTCCTGTATAATATATCTTTATATCTGGAGAGCGGTGAGCAAAAGTAAAAACTTGACAAAAATTGTAGATCTTCTCCACTCCATTCAAAACTGCTAAAAATATAATTGTCCAAAGTTGGGCTTTAATATGAAGTTATTCAATTATTTTGCCCACTGTGGGAGTTCAGATTTTTGTGTTATGAAGACAAATGTTGTTGCAGGTCTCGGTTCTGGTTCTGACCCACAAGTGTTATGGATATTACATACATGGCCGATCAGTACATGGACAAGCAGATGTCAGCATGGAGATGATGATGGACAATCTGAGGAAGGAGGAAGTGAGTAGCGCTAAGTGGCAGATAGACATGTGCAAACAGTTTCGTTATGAACCGAAATTCAGACAAAATTTTCATTATTCCGAGATTCAGATGTATTCAAATGTCCGAATCGCAATAGTAACAAATTTCTACGAATCTGAAACAAAAATTATAATGACTTGAAATAACATAGCAAAATAACAAATTACCTAAATTAGAATTTGAAAATTAATTTGAATTCGAAATGGAAACATATTGCAATAAATGCAGTAAGGTATAAAAGTGAAATAAGATGATGATTCTCACTTAGGCCACTGAATAGAATAGAATAGGATGAAACAGAACAGAATAGGAAAACTATAAAATAATAAAACAACAGAATAGAAAAGAATAGAATAGAAAAAAAAGGACAGAATAAATTAGAACAAATATAGCTGTCTTCCAAAATTCTAATCAATTTGAATAGAATAGAAAAGACCAGAATATAATAAAATAGAATGAATATAGCCGTCTTCTGAAATTTGAATCGATTTTAATAACATAGAAAAAGAAATAAAAGAATAGAATAGAAAAAATTGAATAAAAAAAACAAATATAGCCATCTTCTAAAATTCAAATAGATTGGAAAATAAGGCATATACAAACTGAATCCGAATATACAAAGCAAATTCCGAAAACAAATCATTCTAACATAACATAACAAATATGATGAAAAAAATTATTAACTTAATGAACAAATCCGAAACAAAGGGAATTTTTCCGTTGTGCACATCTTTAGTGGCAGATAAATCCCCAAAAATACAGTCCTTGTTAGATATTTTTGTTTTATTGATATGAAAGGACAAAAAAAAGGAAATATAAATGCTTTTTATGCAGAAAAACTTGTGTCCACTGAGGGGCCTGGAGCCGGGGTCAGACATGCAGACCTTCGAGGTGGTGCTGAGCGATCGTGTGCGGGAACAATATGACAAGATCATGCAGCCGCTGAAGGAGGTATGGCTTCGTCTTCCTCTCCCACAATGTTTGAATGTTGAATTTAGCAGGTTAAGGACTGATCACTGGGCAGCACTAAGCAAAAATGACCGTTTGGTTTGTAGAAAAGAAAATTTCGTAATTCCAGAATATATTTTATCTATCTATCAATTTAGGAGTTTTCTGGAATGAATGTAACACCTAAAGCTCTGGTCCTGGGGAAGACATTCCCCTGTGCACCACTGACTTCCTAACTGGCAATCCCATCAAAGGCTCATTCATGCCAAAACCATTAAGATGTGCTGATCTGCAGAGACCAGCCTAGGCAAGAGCGCAGTGAAAACCAGTGTTTGCATTTTTATACAGCAAAACGCAATACTGCATGTCACTGCAGAACATCGCAACATCATAGAGCTGAATGAAGTGTCATTTTGCAACACTACAATAAAGTTAAAAACGTAAACAGTATGATATGTTATTACAGTGCATCACACCATCCCTACAGAACGCACATATTCAAGTGGTGTGATTGAACCCACAATAACCCTATAGTGACCTCCCAAATGAGCCTCCAAAAGGGTGGCTGGAGAACAATAAATAGATCATTAATGTAAAGAAAAACATCTACAGTATTAGGAGTACTGGTCCTCTCACTGGTATGGAGGAGGTTTTTTTATACCATATTAGATCTATTCAGACATTCCTTTTACTTTTATATGTGACTGTCAAAACAACAACTTGCCCCTTCCCTCCTCCCTCCCTTTCCTTCTGTCTCCTCGCTCTCCTCCTATACTTCTCCTTTCCTCTTCCTCCTCCTTCCTCTACTCACCATCCTCCCTTTCTATTTTCCTCTTCTACTCATCCGAGGTGCCTTCCCTCCTACCCTATCTCATCCTCCTCGCTCCTTTATGCATCCTCCTCTGTCCTCTAAGTTTATCCTCCTCCCTCCTCTACTCTCCCTCCTCTGTCCTCTACTCCCTCCTTCTCCTTCATCCTTCATCTCCCCCCCCCTCCTCTACTCTCCCTCCTCCGTCCTCTACTTAGCCTCTACCTCTCCTCTTCATTCATCCTCCTCCCTCCTCTACTCATCCTTCCTCCCTCCTCTACTCTCCTCCTCCTCCTCTAGTCATCCTCCTCCCTCCTCTATTCATCCTCCTCCCTCCTCTCTACTCATCTCTTCCTCCCTCCTCTACTCATCCCTCCTCCGTCCTCTACTCTCCCTCCTCCGTCCTCTACTCATCCTTCTCCCTCCTCTACTCATCCTCCTCCCTCCTCTACTCACCCTCTTCCTACTCTCCTCTCCCTCCTCTACTCTCCCTCCTCCTCTCCTTCTACTCTCCCTCCTCTGCTCACCCTCCTCCCTCCTCTCTCTCATCCTCCTCCTCCCTCCTCTACTCATCTTCCTCCCCTCCTCTACCCTTCCTCCTCCTCCTCTACTCTATCCCTCCTCCTCCCTCCTCTACTCTGACTTCTCCCCCTCCTCTCTCCTCTACTCATCCTCCTCCCTCCTCTACTCATATTCCTCCCTTCCTACTTACTCTCCCTCCTCTACTCTACTCCCCCCTTCTCTACTCTACTCTCTCCCTTTCTCTACTCTACCTCTCCTCTCTACTTACTCTTCTTCTCTCCTCTACTCTCCCTACTCCTTCTTCATCTCTTCTGCTCAGTCCTCCTCTCTAAATTTCCCACCAACCCACCACTCTACTAACTCTTCTCTCCCGCTCTTACTTTCCTCTCCTCCTCTCCTATCCCACTCTTCTTGCTTTCTATTCTCCTCTGCTCTGCCTCCTCTTATTCTTATCTCCCTCTTTTATACTCTTCTCCTTCTCATATTATCCCTCTCTCCTCCTGTTCTCTTTTTTTTCTTTTACTCACCTCTTCCTCTTACTTTCCTTTCCTTTCTTCCTCCTCTCTTACTTTTTCTTACTCTACATTCCCACTCCTCTCTTCCTCTCCTACTTTCTATCAAACTCTATTCTCCCTCTCTTATTCTCCTCCTCCTCTCTTACTCTTCTTTCCTCCCACTCTCCTCTCTCTTACTTATTCCCTTCCCACTCTCCTTTTACTCTCTTACGTTCTTCTGCCTCCTACACTCTTCTCTCTCTCTTACTCTCCTCTGTTCTCTCTCACTCTACTCTCCCACGTTTTATTCTCCCTCCCTCTCTTATTTGTATCTCCCTTTCTTGCTCTCCTCTCTTTGCCCTTCTTTTCTAGCTAACTTTTCTCTTACTCTCCTCTCCAACTTATACTACCCCTTTATTACTCTCCCTTTATTTTTCTCTCCTCCCTCCCCTCTCCTCTCCTCTCCTCCTTTCCTCTTCTCTATCCTCCCTATCCCTCTCTTTTCCTCTCCTCATTCTCCTGTCTCCTCTCATTCTCCTCTTTCTTTCCACTTCCCTCTCCTCTCTCTTTCTCCTTTCTCTCTTCTCTTTTCCTCTCCTCTCCTCTCCTCTCCTTCTCCTCTCTCCTCTCCTCTCCTCATTCTCCTTTCCTCTCCTGTCATTCTCCCTCTCCTCTTCCCCTCTCTCCTTCTCCTCCCTCTCTCTCCTCTCATTCTCTCCCTCTCCTTCAATTCTCCTCTCTCTCTCCTCTCCTTCTTCTCCTCTCCCTCTTCTCTCTCCTCTCATTCTCCTCTCCTCTCCTCCCTCTCCTCTCCTCTCCTCTCCCTCTCCTTCCTCCCCATTCTCCCTCCCTCTTCTTTCCTCCATTCTCCTCTCCTCTCCTCTCTTCTCTCTCCCTCTCCACCCTTCTCTCTCCATCCCTCTCCTCTCCCTTCTCCTCCTTCCTCCTCTCCCTCTCCTCTCCTTCTCCTTCTCCTCTCCCTCCTCCTTCTCCTCTCCTCTCCTCTCCTCTCCATTTCCTCTCTCCTCTCCTCTTCTTTCCTTCTCTCTTCTCCCTCTCCTCCCTCCTCCCTCTCTCCCCTCCTCTCCTCTCTCTCTCCTCTCTCTCTCCATTCTCCTCAATCTCCTCATCTTCCTTCCATTCTCCTCCCATTCTCCCTCTCCTCCCATTCTCCTCTCCCTCTCCTCTCTCTCTCCGGGCTTATACTCCTCTCCCTCTTATACTACTCTTTCTTCTATTACACTTTTCTCTTCTCTCTCTCAAGGCTCCCAGAGGCCAGAAAGCCGGGAATGAGAAGAACCCAATGTTACAGCAACGGATCAGAACCTACTACACCGTTAACCGTTTCCTTTCTGCCTTCTTGGACCACGTATGTTCTACCACACAATGCTAACCACACACATTACAACCTGAGTTGTACGATTAAAAATGTGCTCATCCACCTAAAGGGAGTCATTCTGCCACAGTCTCACAAGTACAATGGGGAAAGGAGGTGCCCTCTGTGTAGATAGTAATATGGCAACATAGTGGCTTAATTTTAATGCTGCAGACTAAAAAAAGAGATCTGCATGGAGTTTGTATGTTCTCCCTGTGTTTGCATAGGCGTAGTTTTGTCTTATCCAAATCCTTCCTCATACTGGGTCCTTTTTCAGACTGATGTTTATAGAGCTCAATAGCTCAAGGTTTAATTTGAACACATAAGTGAGTCAGGGCTGTGACTTCTCTCCCTCTCTACCTGCCTGACTGTGCAGATAGCGCTGCAGAGAGTTTCATTTAGACAGAGGAACCCTGAAAGCCAGCCATTTCTTTGTGAATATTTTGGTCCTGTATTGAGTTTACCCGAAGACAATTTATTGTTATTGCTCTCTGTGTCTCGATTTGGGTGATTCTCATTCTTTGATTTTCTTGGGGAACCACAATTTTGAGTTTCCAACGGAACGGGTGATATCTTTCAACAAGAAAACCTTTTGTGGTGACAATTATCTGTAATTGTTTCTATTTTTGTCTACAGTGAATGAAGTGAAGGGAAATCTCTCCAATAGGACACAGATGGCAACAAAAAAAAAGTTCTTACCCCATCCAAAAAAAAAAAGTTTTTATTTAGATTTACCTTAAAGTGGAAGCAAAATTAGTTTTTAAAAAAATTTCTGACATGCAGGACCATGTTGGTCTATTCTGCCATAAATGCATCCTCCTGCCTGTCAGCTGTCATGTGCACTAAGCCGCGCATGCGCATCTCATTTACGGCCCCAAACCATGCTGCGCCGTGCGCGAGAGAGTGACGTCCGGTCTATCGAAAGGCCCGAAGGCACAGGACAGGGAAGGAAGACCGGGTGAAGATGGAAGCACCGGGGGCCCACTGGATTGATCCCAACACAGCGCTGGAGGGCACTAATATTCCATGCATAGTAGCTTATTATTATTAATTATACAGGATTTTTATATTTATTATTTTATTATTATACATTATTATACAGGATTTTTATTATTATTTTATTATTATTATTATTATTATACAGGATTTATATATTATTATTATTATACAGGATTTATATATTATTATTATACAGGATTTATATATTATTATTATTTATTATATTATACAGGATTTATATATTATTATTGTTACACAGGATTTATGGCGCCAACAGTTTGCTCAGCACTTTACAATATAACGGGAGACAATACAGCAACAATGCAGTTCAATACAAGAGGGATAGGAGGGCCCTGCTCCTTGGAGCTTACAATCTAGGAGGGAGGGGCTAGCGGTAGAAAAGGTAGTAACTGTGGGGATGGACTGGTTGGAAGAGTAGAAGATTCCATACTAGCTGAGGGCAGGATAGGCTTCCCTGAAGAGATAGGTTTTCAGAGATTGCCTAAAAGTGAGCAGAGTAGGCGATAGTCTGATAAATTGGGGTAGAGAGTTCCAGAGGATGGGGGAAGCTCTGGAGAAGTCCTGGAGATGAACATGGGAAGAGACAAGGGAGCTAAAGAGCAGGAGGTCTTGCGAGGAGCGGAGAGTATGGTTTGGGTGTTATTTACAGACAAGATCGGTGATGTAATTTGGGGCGGAGTTATAAATGGCTTTATACGTTATTGTTAATGTTTTGAATTTTATCCGTTGGGCAATGGGAAGCCAGTGGAGGGATTGGCGAGAGGGATGGAGGCCAGTGGAGGGATTGGCAGAGAGGGATGGAGGCCAGTGGAGGGATTGGCAGAGAGGGATGGAGGCCAGTGGAGGGATTGGCAGAGAGGGATGGAGGCCAGTGGAGGGATTGGCAGAGAGGGATGGAGGCCAGTGGAGGGATTGGCAGAGAGGGATGGAGGCCAGTGGAGGGATTGGCAGAGAGGGGTGGAGGCCAGTGGAGGGGAGGGATTGGCAGAGAGGGGTGGAGGCCAGTGGAGGGATTGGCAGAGAGGGATGGAGGCCAGTGGAGGGATTGGCAGAGAGGGATGGAGGCCAGTGGAGGGATTGGCAGAGTGGGATGGAGGCCAGTGGAGGGATTGGCAGAGAGGGGTGGAGGCCAGTGGAGGGATTGGCAGAGAGGGATGGAGGCCAGTGGAGGGATTGGCAGAGAGGGATGGAGGCCAGTGGAGGGATTGGCAGAGAGGGATGGAGGCCAGTGGAGGGATTGGCATCCTGGAGGGCCCTAAAAAGAAAAATTGTACAGCAGAATTTACTAACAATTTAAGACTTTTAAGGTATTTCAGAAACAAAATACTGCATTTTAGCCACTAGATGGAGCTGGTGATCATAGGAAATTATGAAATCACTGTTTTAAAATAAGAAATAGGATCAGAATTTGTCAACGCTGAGCAAATTTTTGTCACATTCGTCCAACAATTTTTAAAATAAATAGTTCCTAAATGTTTATTTGTATAGAAAAATGTATATAAATAGTTATTAACTTATAAATGTAAACAAGACAATTGACCCCAAACCTGCAATGGCTTCTTTTTTCTTTTAGTTCACTCTGGGTGCAGTCATGCTGATGAATTATGTAGGGTGTGGGGGGGGACGCAGAGTGACCCCAGATGTCCAGGTATGTTCAGTGGTTGTCACTCCTCTGATTGATCTCCTTCTCTGGCAGGTCTATAAGGATCTGGATTATGTGGTGAAGAACAAGCTTCTCCTGGAGAACATTCTTGACCTGGAGTTCCAACAACCCATCGACAAGTCAATATTTTATAATGGTGAGAATCCCCATACAGTGTATCAGGCCATGTTCTGTGTGTCTGCACCTAGTGGGGCTGCCATGACACCCCAGACAACAAGTGAAATGAATTAGGGGGACACGAATGCTATCCAGCAGAAGATGCTAAACTTAGAAATCCACCCACTTTTCATTTCCTCTGATGTCAGCTCTAAAGTTGACATTTAATCTGCTTCTGATTTGCCTTCCCTGGTTCATCCTCCACCCTCATTAGCATGCTAATTAAATATTAAACAAATCCTTTCTGTTTTCATTGCATACCCAATTTTAAATCTAGTGATGCCAACACTGGGCCTCTGTGATTCTCTATGTGATGCAAGCAGATCATGGCTGGTGGGAAGGGCTGGCAGGGTGCTGTACATGGCTCCCTGAAAATATCACAGCACCTTGCCTCAGTACTCCTCTCAAGAGCCCTCAGTTCTGATGGAAGCAGTGGCATGGGCTCTTTGGAGGAGTTATGCGAATATCAAAAGGCCTTGATGAGCGGGTGTCATTTGGGAGGAGTGGGCGTTGCTAGGCATGCTACATTTGCACAGTAACACCCACATGTGATGCTGAGCCTCCATGATTGAAAGAAAAATGAAATCCAATCAATGAAAAGGGTGGGCTAGGGACAGTCAAGCTGGAGAGGAAAGAGCTAGATGATGCTGGATGTCCTCCAGCCAGGACATGAGGCAGGCTCTATCCTGCTTGTTGTAGCAGATTTAACTGCTTCCCTCCCAGCCTACAGTACTATGATGGCCGGGAGGGACCGCTGTTGTTCTGGGAGGATGTCATATGATGTCCTCCCATTCTTGTCGCACATGCGCGTCCGCAGGGGCGTGGCAGCGATCAGTGGTGCGCTGTGTCCCTCGGACACAGTGGATCTCCGATCACAGTAAAGAGCCAATGATGTAGGCTCTTTACTATGTGATCAGCTGTGTCCAATCACAGCTGATCACATGTCAGTCATCAGCAGTTCTCTTCTCACGTTGACAATGCGCAAGGAGAGGAGAGCTGATAAGTGGCAATCCTCAGAGAGGACATCTACACTGATAATCAGTGCCCTGACTATCAGTGCAACCCCATCAGTGATGCCTCTCAGTGTCCATCAATGCTGCCTATCAATGCCCATCAGTGTTGCCTATCAGTGCCTTCAGTCTCATCACTGATGCTGCTCCTATCCTTCTCATGTGCCAGCTATCAGTGCCACCTATCATTGTGCTGCCTACCAGTGGCAATCATTGCCACTTATCAGTGATGCCTATTAATGCTACCTTTCAGTGCCCATCAGTGATGCCTGTCAGTGCCATCTATCAGTACCGCCGGTCAGTGCCCATCAGTGAAGGAGAAAATGACTTATTTACAAAATTTTATAACAGACACTAAAAACACTTTTTTTTTCAACATTTTCAGTCTTTTTTTTGTTTGTTTAATAAAAAATAAAAACCAGTGCAGATTAAATACCACCAAAAGAAAGCTCTATCTGTCTTAAAAAAATGATAAAAACTTTGTTTGGGTACAGTGTTGCATGACCGCGCAATTGTCATTCAAAGTGTGACAGCACTGAAAGCTAAAAATGGCCTGGGCAGGAAGGGGGTGACAGTGCCCGGTAGGGAAGGGGGGTGACAGTGCCCGGTAGGGGAGGGGGGTGACAGTGCCCGGTAGGGGAGGGGGTGTGACAGTGCTCGGTAGGGAAGGGGGGTGACAGTGCTCGGTAGAGAAGGGGGTGACAGTGCCCGGTAGAGGAGGGGGTGACACTGCCCGGTAGGGGGGAGGGGGGTGACAGTGCTCGGTAGGGAAGGGGGTGACAGTGCCCGGTAGGGGAGAGGGTGACAGTGCCGGTAGGAAGGGGGTGACAGTGCCCGGTAGGGGAGGGGGTGACAGTGCCCGGCAGGGGGGGTACAGTGCCCGGCAGGGAAGGGGGGGTGACAGTGCCCGGCAGGGGAGGGGGTGACAGTGCCCGGTAGGGGAGGGGGTGACAGTGCCCGGTAGGGGAGGGGGTGACAGTGCCCGGTAGGGGAGGGGGTGAGGGGGTAGAGGGGTGACAGTGCCCGGTAGGGGAGGGGGTGACAGTGCCCGGTAGAGTGCCCGGTAGGGGAGGGGGTGACAGTGCCCGGTACAGTGCCCGGTAGGGGAGGGGGTGACAGTGCCCGTAGGGGAGGGGGGTGTGACAGTGCCCGGAAGGGTAGAGTGCCCGGTAATGGGGGGTGACAGTGCCCGGTAGAGGGAGGGGGGTGACAGTGCCCGGTAGGGGATTGGCAGTGACAGTGCCGGTAGGGGAGGGGACAGTGCCCGGTAGGGGAGGGGGTGATGAAAGTAGGGAGGGGGTGACAGTGCCCGGTAGGGAGGGGGTAAGTGCCCGGTAAGGGGGTCGACAGTGCCCAGAAGGGGAAGGGGTGAACCGAAATAAGTGAAATTCGGAGTATCCACTTCTCTTATTGTGCAGTAAATGTAATTTTCTCCATTCTCTCCCCTCTTACTGGATTAATATCAGAGATGAAATGTATAAACTGTCTCCTTGTATACAATAATGAAATGTGTTTTTATTGATCCATCTCCGCCTCCATTTTAGATGAACGTCATCACTTTAGCCGCGCCCTCTTCTATGGCAACGAGCTGGTGCTGCTTCTTTTCGATACTCTCCTGTTCTGCATCATTGACCTGGGGACACAGAACTTTATCCTGGCAACAATCCTAACCTTCGTCATTCAGATGGTGAGAAAAACTAGTTATTTCAATGTCTACTAAGTCCTCCGGCGAAATACTGTATCAATGCTAGATGTTCCCACATCTGTGAAGAATCTAAGGGTCAGTCCACCCACAACTGATATTGCAGGGTTTGGTGGAGGCAGAAGAGTTGAACCCCCTTTCAGTTTCTTCTGTTTTTGGGGACTCCATTTGTGAGATCTCTGCACTGATTTCCAGTGTCTGTACACCTACTGTGCTCATTATGAGGGGTTCCCCACCATCCCTGTGCTGAGTTCCCGGGTCTGTACACCTGCTGTGCCCATTATGAGGAGTTTTGCACCATCCCTGTACTGAGTTCCCGGGGTCTGTACACCTGCTGTGCCCATTATGAGGGGTTCGCAACATTCCTGTACTGAGTTCCCGGGTCTGTACACCTGCTGTGCCCTTTATGAGGGGTTCCCACCATCCATGTGCTGAGTTCCCGGGTCTGTACACCTGCTGTGCCCTTTATGAGGGGTTCCCACCATCCCTGTGCTAAGTTCCCAGGTCTGTACACCCTCTGTGCCTATTATGACGGGTTCCCACCATCTCTGTGCTGAGTTCCCGGGTCTGTACACCCTCTGTGCCCATTATGATGGGTTCCCACCATCTCTGTGCTGAGTTCCCAGCTCTGCACACCTGCCAGCATTGCATAGAAAATCACAAAGACCCAGTGATGATATCACTGGGTCTAAAACAAAGTATGTAATCAAAATGGAAAGGTTTTATTTAAAAAAAAGTACTTAGCATGTTGAGGAGGGGGGAACCAGGGAAGATCAAATTTAAGATTAACCTTCAGCTTTAAATCCTGATGAAGGACCTCGGAACCCACAAAACGTGTCGGCTTTATAACAAACCTTACCACAAATCAATCTCACATTTATCTGCTGTCTGATACTGTCTGATGCTCTCTTTTCTACGGCCTTTGGAAATAAGGATTTGTCAATAGGGTTCTGATCAGTGGAGATTTGGGGTTTTGTTATTGAACTCAATGACACAGTTTGTGTTTTTGTTATTTGTTCTCACACTGTATACTGGATTATGTATTTGTTTTTGCAGTTTGTGCAGATCCTTCGCTCCCTGATTGGAAAGAAAAATCTGTCGTCTCAGACTCTGGTAGAAGAAAGCTTTCTCATATGAGGACAATATTCCCATAATAGTTCAGCAACCTTTAAAGTATAAATCCCCCCCCCCCCCTTCCCAGACACATGCAAGGCCTGAGCATCCGTCGCTGGGTACAAGTAATTCAAGAGCCTGCACAGATCCAAAAGATCAGGCCGAATAATAAACTGTAGTTGCACGCTCATGGCCTAAAAAATGTATTGTATCTATGTATTTAAATCCTGTAAATACTGAATGTACACATTTCTTTTTGCATATTTGTAATTTTGTACGTTTATATTTTTGTACGTAATCTAAATAAACAAAACAGAAATCTGTAAATTTCACCAAAATGTTGATCAATAATGACTTTAGTAATTGCAGTATATTTATTTGATTTAACATCACAATTGTTGTGATAAGCAACTTAGAGGTGTTTTTTTTTTTATATAAAAAAGGTACAGCAAATCTGTGCCAACTGGGCTAAAAATATTTCTTTAGGGTACTTTCTCTTCTAAGGAAATGTTCTATTATAAAATACTGCATTATGGCCAACCGATGGAGCTGGGAAGCATAGGAATTCAATTCTGCTTTTGGCCACTAGATGGAGATGAGGAGCATAGGAATAAAATACCCCATTATGGCCACTAGATGGAGATGAGGAGCAAAGAAATAAAATACCCCATTATGGCCACTAGATGGAGATGAGGAGCATACTAATAATATACCCCATTATGGCCACTAGATGGAGATGAGGATCATAGGAATAAAATATCCCATTATGGCCACTAGATGGAGATGAGGAGCATAGGAATAAAATACCCCATTATGGCCACTAGATGGAGATGAGGAGCATAGGAATAAAATATCCCATTATGGCCACTAGATGGAGACGAGGAGCATACTAATAATATACCCCATTATGGCCACTAGATGGAGATGAGGAGCATAGGAATAAAATATCCCATTATGGCCACTAGATGGAGATGAGGAGCATAGGCATAATATACCCTATTATGGCCACTAGATGGAGATGAGGAGCAAAGAAATAAAATACCCCATTATGGCCACTAGATGGAGATGAGGAGCATACTAATAATATACACCATTATGGCCACTAGATGGAGATGAGGATAATACGAATAATATACCTCCTTATGGCCACTAGATGAAGATGATGAGCATAGGCATAATATACCCCATTATGGCCACTAGATGGAGATGAGGATAATACGAATAATATACCCCATTATGGCCACTAGATGGAGATGAGACACATAATAAATATAGAACTGTGTAATGAGATACATGTGGCAAGTATGGAGAATGCTAGAGGGAATTAACAAATAAAAGGAACCTATGGTGAACAAATTACTGTGATCCAAAACACATGGACCTGAAAGATTCACCTACAGTGAGTGTTTGGTTAATGTCATATTTATTGCCTTATACATATGCTCCCAAGTAGTGAAAAAACAAATGTTAATTGGACATTTCCTGTATTAGTTGAACGTTTTTTGACTTTAAAATGAGAAATATTGTAAATGGCCACTAGATGTCACTAAGTATCACAAGAAAATCCTATGATAATTACCGCCATCTGGTGGCCACATGTGGTATTTACCGTTTTTAAAACAATAAAAGGCATCTTTCCAGCTCAGGAAATAGTCTAATACAGTGGTGGGCAACCTTTTTTTTCAACTGAGCCAAATCTCGCCAAAACCACGATTGAAATTTATTTTGAGAGCCACATTTTTAAAACTGAAAATACATAGGATGGTACACTGTTTTTAGTTTCAATAAATTTTTATAGTAATTCATCCCCCATATAGTAATTCATCCCCCCTATAGTAATTCATCCCCCCTATAGTAATTCATCCCCCATAGTAATTCATCCCCCATATAGTAATTCATCCCCCATATTAATTCATCCCCCATATAGTAATTCATCCCCCATATTAATTCATCCCCCCTATAGTAATTCATCCCCCATAGTAATTCATCCCCCCTATAGTAATTCATCCCCCATATAGTAAATTCATCCCCCATATTAATTCATCCCTCATATAGTAGTAGTAAGTAAGTAGCAAGTAGTAAGCCAAGTCCCCCCTGTGTCAATTCACTTACCTTTGCTCCGCGCGTTCCTCTCGCCGTGCTCCCGCGCCGTTCCGGTCTTCAGGGCGGACTGTGAGAGGAGCCTAGCTCCTCTCACGTTCGTCACGCTGCCCCGCCTACACACATCCTGACAGCCAATCACTGGCTATCAGGATGTGAGTGGCAGCGAGACTGGCCAATCATTGCATTTGAGCGCGCTGCCCTGGCTGTTTTTTTTTTTTGGATCACGCTGCAGAGTCCCTGCCGCCCGAGAGGAGGGAGGGGAGCGGGCGCCCGGCACACAAGAGCCGCATTAAAGCGTGTAAAGAGCCGCATGTGGCTCGCGAGCCGCGGCTTGCCGACCACTGGTCTAATACATTGTTTTTACCCCATTCACACACCAGGACTGTACGTACACTTTCACTAGGTGAATTGTTTTGCAATTTTTAAATAAATACACCCCTATGTGGTTACTAAAGAAAAAAAAGAGTATTTAATGACTTAGTCACTATGGCACATGATGCTTATCACTTTTCATCCAAACGGTCTGCCTGTATGATGGATGACAAAGACAAGTCAGATACGATAAACAGACTACTGCAACAAACTACTCAGAAGTTTCCTTTTAAAAATACTTTTATTTACATACAGAACAGGCACACAGAGTCCAAAATATATAACAGTGCTATTACAGTACACCGAAAAATGTGTGATTGTTGCATCATTACACAGAATCTGCATCTTAAGGGTCCAACTAAAATAAATATTTATTTAGAAGTAATTGGCTAAATCACCTGAAGTCTTATTAGTTTTTTCACTACCATCAAGTACTCAGTACCAGCATTTTCCTGCAGTAGTTTGTCTCTGCCCCTCCCACAATGGCGAGATTTCCCTACAGCAGTTTGTGTCTGCCCCTCCCCCACAATAGGGAGATTTCCCCTTAGTTTGTGTCACTACCCCTCCCACAATGGGGAGATTTCCCTGCAGTAGTTTGTGTCTCTGCCCCTCCCACGATGATGAGATTCCTCCCCCCCAGTACTGTGTCTCTGCCCCTCCCACATTGATTAGATTCCCCCCCCCCCAGTACTTTTTGTCTCTGCCCCTCCCACAATGATGAGATTCCCTGCAGTAATTTGTGTCTCTGCCCCTCCCACATTGTGGGGAATTCCCTGCAGTAGTTTGTGTCTCTGCCCCTCCCACATTGGGGGGATTTCCCTGCAGTAGTTTGTGTCTCTGCCCCTCCCACATTGGGGGGATTTCCCTGCAGTAGTTTGTGTCTCTGCCCCTCCCACATTGGGGGGATTTCCCTGCAGTAGTTTGTTTCTCTGCCCCTCCCACATTGGGGGGATTTCCCTGCAGTAGTTTGTGTCTCTGCCCCTCCCACAATGATGAGATTCCCTGCAGTAGTTTGTGTCTCTGCCCCTCCCAGATTGGGGGGAGTTCCCTGCAGTAGTTTGTGTCTCTGCCCCTTCCACATTGGGGGGATCTCCCTGCAGTAGTTTGTGTCTCTGCCCCTCCCACATTGGGGGATTTCCTGCAGTAGTTTGTGTCTCTGCCCCTCCCATATGGGGGGATTTCCCTGCAGTAGTTTGTATCTCTGCCCCTTTTTCCCTGCAGTAGTTTGTATCTTTGCCCCTCCCATATTGGAGGGATTTCCCTGCAGTAGTTTGTGTCTCTGCCCCTCCCACATGGAGGGGATTTCCTGCAGTAGTTTGTGTCTCTGCCCCTCCCACATTGGGGGGATTTCCTGCAGTAGTTTGTGTCTCTGCCCCTCCCAAAAGGCCGTAATGAAGGTGTCAGTGTCTCCCAGGTGGCTTTGTAATGGTCATAGCATTGGGGGCAGAGCTAAGAAGTCTAATGGAACTCTATCACCGGCATTGAATTCAAGTTTTCAGCAGCCACAGACAGCCAAACTTTTGGGGGGAGTTGTGCCTTAATAACTGAGAAAATATACTCATCTTCCTTGGTATGAGTAATATATACAATAATAAATGACGCGGTAATCTATACCCTGTACAACGCACCTCTCCGTCATAGCGCAGGTCACAGTTATGTAAACGCTGTGCACGGCTCTAATTCCTAACCTCTGAAGACGTCTCGGCTGGAAAAATACACAAATTCACTTTCCTGTTTAACTTTTACACAAACCACTTAAAACAAACACTTCTTTCCGCTGCGCTCCCTTCAAAGCCGCTCGCCTCTTGGCAGGAGTTCAGAGAAGTGAGAATACCGCCAATAAATCCCCATCCAAACATGGGGCCGCCACCAGGGAGGACCGGCGGCAGAGCCGGTAATTTTTTTTATTCACCGGGGTGAGGGGACAGATTAGCAGGTCAGAGCGCCAGCTGGAGAGTGAAAATTTCGGGAGGATATTGAAGGATGCAGAGATTGTTTTTTGAGAATGGTTCACCGAAAACAGATTTCTCTGACCTGTGTTTAAACAATGATAGCAGCGCACGGTGACGGTCCTGGTGAGGTCTCGCTGCATCAAATCATGTTTTCCAAAAACATGGTTTACAAAATGTCATGTTTTCAGAATACAAATATATATTTGTTAAAATAACATTTAAAACTGAACTCTGGACACAAAAAAATATATAAATATACACCCTCGATAGCTACAAAGGCTATAAATCTGCTTTGTGTGCCAAATACCTTTACAAACTCAGATGTTACCTTGTAAATGTAGCAGTGACATCATCACTGTGCTTTACATAGCCTGTGCAGAGAGCAGAACTGTGGGAGGGGCCCAGGAGCCCCCTCCCACTACATGCTCCCTACAGAAAACTACAGGAGGGGGCGGAGACAAGACCAGTCACCCTGCACAAGGAGAGAGAGCAGCAGTGGAGGTCTTTGTAACAGGAAGTCTCACACTGGATCACTGCACAGAAAAAATACACAAAGCACAGTGAGATCCATAATTCAAGAAGAACAGACATGTTGAATGCATTAAGACAATATTTGCTTCTCTCGGTGTTCGCCTTTAAAGAGTATGTAACGCCAAAGCATTTTTCTTTAGTATGGGTAGTTTTGTTTTTTTTACTGCTGTCGTGTCCCCACCAGAGAGATTCACCCTGTATCAATCCCGACATAGAAAGCCATCGGAAATCTAGCATTTTACAGTTGTCACCATATTAGGATTAGAGGGGAAATCTTCCAATGGGAACACCCGTTCCTGTGACAACTAAGAGGGAATAGCTCCTCACTTAGGAGAGGTTTCCTCTCACGTCTTCTTGTGTCCATGGGACAGGAAATACGTTTTCAGAGGGTTTTAACCCTCCCCTACCCATCCTAAACTCCAAGAAAATGTTTTGGTTTTATTCACTATGTAGAAAATTTACAAATATCTGTGGGCTGTAAATGCTGATCTCTGTCTGAAAGCGCTTGCTGCCTGGCTGCCTCTGAGTCCCCGGCTTGGGAACAAACATCCAGCATGAGAAGCCAGATCTAGTTATCTACATGCTTCATCTGGTTCAGTTAATCTGAAAGTACTGAATCCAGAGAGCTCACATGATAGCCAGGCTAATGGCATTTTTCAGAAGGAGAAAGCAGTAACAGCAGGCTACATGATTCATTGGCACAGGTTTCTGCCACTTTCTGACAAATTCTACCAATGAATAGGCTAAATTCAAAGGGCTGTTGTTTTTGGTATGCTGCTTGTAGTATCAGGACCAGGATCACTGTGGTCAGGTATGGTATTGGGGACAGGAGGATCAGGACTAGGATCACTGTGGTCAGGTAAGGTGCAAGGGACAGGAGGTTCAGGACCAGGATCACTATGGTCAGGTATGCTGCAAGGAACAGCAGGATCAAGACAAGGATCACTGAGCTCAGGTACGGTATTAGGGACATGAGGATCAGGACCAGGATCACTGTGGTCTGGTATGATACTAAGGACAGGAGGATCAGGACCAGGATCACTGTGGTCTGGTATGGTGTTTGGGATCCGAAGATCAGGACCAGGATCACTGTGGTCTAGTATGGTGCTAGGGACAGGAGGATCAGGATTGGGATCACTGTGGTCAGGTAAGGTGCAAGGGACAGGAGGATCAGGACCAGGATCACTATGGTCAGGTATGCTGCAAGGAACAGGAGGATCAAGACAAGGATCACTGAGCTCAGGTACGGTATTAGGGACAGAAGGATCAGAACCAGGATCACTGTGGTCAGGTATGATGATAGTGACAGGAGGATTAGAATCACTGTGGTCAGATATGGTGATAAGGACTGGAGGATCAGGACCAGGATCACTTGGGTCTGGTATGATGTTGGGAACAGAAGGCTCACGGCCCAGATCACTGTGGTCCGGTATGGTGTTGAGGACAGGAGGATCAGGACCAGGATTATTATTATCAGGTATGGTGTTGTGGACAGGAGGATCAGGACCAGGATCACTGTGGTCATGTATGGTGCTGAAGATGGAAGAATCAGGATCGGGATCACTATGGACATGGGGGTTACAGTCCTCAAATTTGATTTATTTCCTCACTCTTGAATAATGTGATCTTATGGGTTCCTCGTCCTCTTCATCCTCTGTTTCATCATCACTATCCTCTTCTTCTACATGTGTCTGTCTCTGCAGGGTGCTGGGAAGGCTCTGCAAAGAAAAACAACCCCAGACTGTACTGAAGGTTAATAGCACCAGCAATGCATTCTGATATACTGTTAGGAGTGTTCCCAGCTCCACCCCCACTTCCCATTGTGATTGGATGTACTGGAAATGGGGAAAATGCAGATTCTGTATCCCACAGTTTCTCAGTTCTAGGGCTGTTATACCAAAGGATTTGTATTTCTGTCCATCCAGTCCTGGGATCCACACAGCACTGTCCTGTCTGGCAGGGCAGGGAACCTGATTTTTCTCTTCTGCAGTCAAGTAACACTTGCAGGTCTTGCTCTCTCCTCCTACTAGCATGCTCCTTGCACTGCATCACGATGATTGGTTCCTTGTCCTGCTTCTACCTCTACCTGCCTGAGCTCTGCTGTACATGGACAGCAAGAGGCTGATACCAGGACAGATTCAGGGACTTACACTGTTTGTAATACAATATATTATGTATTTATGAATACAGTGTTGCATTCTTATGTATTAATTTCTTTCTGCCTGAAGTTCAGGTATATCAGAGAAGAAAATAATAGTCATATAAAACTTATGTAAATCAAAATAATAGTAGCAATTAAATATTTGGAGGATGTTTAACTGCTACAATGTTTCTCTCCCTCCTCCAGATGTTTAATTGCTACTATTATTTTGGTTTAAATATGTTTTATATGACTTTTATTTTATTCACTGATATGTTTTTGGAAAATTATTTTTTTTCTTTTTGATATACTGTGCATGGATGTATTGCTGTGATCTCAGAAGATGAACATTGGTTGCATATGTAAAGGCACATATCCTGAGGACAGGGAGCGTGCCAATCCGTTACGCCAATCTGGAGCTACATACATGTGCCAACTAAACACAATTATACAAGGCAGCCATGATCTGTGGTTTTTATGATGTTTTTAATTACATGACAAAAGATTTTGGAGATTATTTATTGATATATCAGTGTATGTTCTCTTTGTGGCACATTTAAAGTCCCTCGTTGACTTCCTCCTCCATTGGACATGGGATGGGAGGAAGGATATTGTAGATCTCCTAGATTGTAAGCTTGAAAGAGCAGGGCCCTCGATCCCCTCATGTTTTGCATTGTATTGGTATTGTTCTGTCACATGTTCTGTCCCCCTTTGTAATGTACAGCGCTGAGCGAACTATTGGCGCTTTATAAATACTGAATAATAATAATAATAATAAATATTACAGGAAGGTTTACTTGATGAACTTTTAACCATTCCTCACTTCATAACAAAAAAAAGGAGTTCTGCTTTACTGTTACTGACAGCAAATTGGACATAAGGAGTGGACATGCCATAGAGATATGTAGAATAAAAGTCTGGATGAGCCTGTGAGACATTAGCCTACAGAGAAAGAGAGCATTAAGAGTGCCAATGAGTTTTGGGGGTCTGAATGCTCCCCCCATTATTGAGATTGGATTTAGCAGCAAAAACTGGTCGGGATCCATTTTGGATACTGTATCACTTCATAGAAATTTAGTTTGCTGATTGTGATATTTGAGTCTATACAAGAATGTGAACAACATCCAAGCCTTGATGAATGTGGGGTGCAGGGGCACTGCCCGAGGGCCCGGGGTCAGTAGGGGGCCCCATGAGATGCCCCTGGTACCTTTTTCATAGGCTTTTTTGAGTTTGGGCAAGGACACAGGGGCACCATGATCCCCTATTGCCCGGGGGCCCCATGAGTTGTCAGTCCGCCCCTGGTGGGGTGTTCAGACCTCCAAAACGCATTGCCTGTTGCTTAAATTATTAGATCCCTGGTGGCCAATCTGCAGCTCATTGATACTTTTTGTGCAGCCCTCGGGCTCCTGCACCCATGAATCTGTACTTCCTTTTGTCCTGTTATGGCAGTGATCTAAAGCAGCCTCATGTCATAGGTCTCCAGTCTGATCACCTCCTGAAGCATGTCCCCAGTCTCCAACAATTCCTATAGCGACCCCAGTTTCTGCCAGTCTCCTGCAACATGTC